CTCGCTACCACTTGAGTCACATCCCCAGCCCTATTCCCAAGACTTTTCTATTAGTGGGTATAATCTTGGAAAAGTCCCAGCTGACAGTATCTTTCCCCCAAATATATTCCTGTCTTCTCCCAGGAGGGATAAAGACACACAGCCAAGAGGAGGCTCAGAGTGAGCCACATTTTCATTTCCAACAATTGCCAATTGCCCCCTTCCCCAGACACACGTGGGAGAGACAGAAATAGCATATATGACTAGACAAATCCAAAATCAGAGGAGCAAACAGGTTGGGGAGCTGTAGGCCTTTTTATTAAGTGTTTTCTCACGGGAATGCTTCTTCCTGGACCATTTTAAAAAGCTAATCCTCAGAAAAGTATACCAATTCCAATATGTTGGTGGCCAAGTCTTTCTTGGAAATAACTGGGCCAAAGTGGTAGGAAGTGTGGAATTCCTCAGATTGAACGCTGCTTCGGGCCAGAGTCAGACTCCAAACCAAACAGGCTGGGGAGCAGGGGATGTCAGAGAGTCTGGCCCTGGGGTTCCACCTGCCTCTTGGCAGTGTGGTCTCCTATACTTTGGGCCTGGGGCCTGCTGCCTGTGCTGTGCTTCCCACACCTTCTCTGTGGGTTATCCTGGGCCCAGATGTAAGGAAAAATGCAACTCTGAGTTATTTTAGGAATGTTTCATGTTCACTTCCCACAGTCATGGGCTCTGCTACAGCTGGGTGAGAGTCATGCTGGGCAGCAAGTGGCCCAGAGCCTCCTGCCAGGCAGTCATCAAGGGTACAGTCACCTTGGGCCACAAGCACATAGCACCATCCTCAAACGCACACCATAATGAAATGGTTGCTACTGTTCACGGTAAGCTAGGAAGGTGACCCTAACGACGTGGCCACCCTGACGCTCAGGGTGAAGCTCACCCTAGCTTCAGCCCTATTCATCAACATCGCTGGAAGAGTGGGGTCTTAAAAATGAAGGGGTCGGTGATCTCCCAGATTGTCTAGGAATTGACGAATGTTTCCGAAACAGAAGAATTCCTGTAGAAATCTGTAAGCACATACCAATTTGGAAAGCTATGGGTAAACATCTTGTTCACGTCTCTTGCTCCCTGGCTTTGTCCTCTACATCACCAGCGTAGATGACCTTTACAAATCACACCTTTTGTGGCCTGTCTCACTAGCCGCTGCACTCCCAGAGCATACACATGCCCTCTCCTTGCCCTTGGTGCTTTGGGTTTTTTAGGTGGTCTACTTTCTCTCCGTGGCCTTGGTTCTGTTTCTCTAGCCACTTGCTCAAGGTAGGCCTGATGCTATTCCAAACAGTGCTTTGCTGGATTCTTGGGCTGCTTCCCAATTCCTATGGCCAATCAGTGCTGGAGCCCTGAGGAGGGGAGGGGGTCTCTGTCAATAATCAGGAGTGTGATGGTTAATTTTATGTGTTACCTTGGCTAGAACATGACCCAGATATCTGGCTAAATACTAGTCTGGATGTTGCCATGAAAGTATTTTTTAGATGAGTTTAACATTTCCATCAGTAGGCTTTGAGTAAAAACTATTTTTATGGGTGGGCCTCATCTCATCAATGGAAGGCTTTGAAGAAAAAAAAGAGGAAGAGGGAATTCTGCCTCTGGACTGTTTTCAGAGTTGAGCTGCAACATCAGATCTTGCCTGGATTTCCAATCTGCTAGCCTGCCCTTCCCGTTTATCTGACCCCACAGTCATATGAGCCAATGCCTTAACTCCCTAACATCAACCAATCTTCTATGCATTCATTATTTTAGTTCACTTGTCAATGAAACTGGAGACAGGTGTTCAGAACAATCCGACCTGGATAAACGATCTCTGGTCAGATGGCAGGGTGCTGTCTTATAACGGGGATGGGTTCCCATGCTGCCGTTCGTCTTTCCCTACTCTTGGACCATCAGTCAGCACCTCCTGGTTCCTGAACCTCAGTGAGGGGCTGGGAAACATCTGCCTTCTCCAAGGAGGGCTTTGCAAAGAGCCTTCTTCTGCAAAGAGACTGGTCTGTTGTGAGGCTATGGGAAGGCATCTGTGGCTCCAAGGCCTCGCCTAGTCCTGGGTGGCTTGGAGTAAGTAGGAAAAACAGGGTGGAATACTGAATGATGGTATGAAGGCTCTGGTTTGATGGTATGTTGGCTGTGCTGTGGTCACAGCTTCTGGAACAGTGGTGTTGATAACGCTGCTCTGCTGACGTCCTTATTTCAACAAATCTGCATGACCTACTGAATCCTCTGCCTGGCCAATTTTACCTAACAGAGACAAGTGTACCATAAATGCAGGCAAGAGGGGGGTTTTGGTGATGATGCTTGTATCTGATGCATTTGATGTTACTGTTTTCCGTGTCTGACTTCCTGGGAAGTCAATCAACAATAAAAATACTAAGAGCCCTTGGGGGAAAACCCCTCTGAATCGGGTGGCATTCAAGAGACTGCCCTCAAGCTGGCACATCTGCCATGAGACACGGGCTGACAACTCTGAGACCTTCACCCCTGGCTTGACCTCTCTCCTGAGCTCCACACTCCAGCAGCGCACCTGCCGCAGTCCAGCACACGCAAAGCCCAGCTCATCTCTCCACCTAAGCCCTTCTCTCCCAGGCCTTAAGATGGAAACTTGGGCATAATCCTGGGCTCTCCCCATGCTCTGCCAACACCTGGGGACTTTCCAGCTCTGACTGGAGTGGACAGTCCCCTCCATCCCTGTCATGCTCCCGTGGGAAAGCCACCTCCTCATCCTGGCCTGCACCTTCCTACCCTGCTCCACACCTATCTAACACCCCACCTTTATCCTGCAGCTGGAGGGGGCTTTCAAAAATCAAACCTGACTTCCCTGCTTAAAACCCATCTGGGCCCCATGGCCCAAAGGGGAAAGTACAAATTCCTTAGGTTGATAATAAAACAGTGGTAAGTCACATATGTTAGGTGTCAGATTTGGTCTCTTTGACACATGTATTATCTCATTTAACCCCTTGAAAAGCCCCCCAGGATATGTATATTGTTACTTATGATCTGGATCCTATAGAGGAGACCAAAAGCCAGGCCAGCCAGACACCTGCTAGTTCCAGTCCCTCTTTCTAGTCTCATTTTCTACTTGTTGCCTCTGTCCACTTGGACTCCGGAATACCAGATGCTGTTGGCACCGTGAGTAGATGCACAGTGTTTGGTCCCCATTCTGTGGCCCAGGTTGCTCGTCCTGCTTGGAGCTCCCTTCTCTCTGCTGGTCAGGTGGAAACCTCCAGGAGCAGGGCTGGGCTCACCTGCCTCTGTCCCAGCCCCTTCAGAAAGCTTTTCTTTTGATTTTCAAAAATGCTCAGTAAACTGGACATGGTGGAGCATGCCTGTAATCGGGAGGCTGAGGCAGGAGGATCATGAGTTCAGAGCCAGCCTTAGCAACTAAGTAAGACCCTGAGCAACTCAGAGAGACCCTGTCTCTAAATAAAATATAAAAAGGGCTGTGGATGATGGCTCAGATGTTAAGCACCCCTGGGTTCAATCCCAGGTACCAAAAAAAAAAAAAAAAAAGCGTGAGGCAGGAGAGACCAGGTTTGCACTGGCCATCTTCCCGCCTTCTAGAGAGTGAGGCTGGCTGAGAGAACGGGTGCTAGGAGGCAAACCATTTCCCTTTCTTCCTCCATAACTGCAAAGTCTCACAGCTTTAAAGGCCCACTATGAATGAAATGGGAAAATCTTTATTATATATATATATTATCACATACTTGCAACTACTGTCTCTGGTGACTTTATTTTAATTTTTTTAATAGATGAACACGATATCTTTATTATTTATTTATATGTGGTGCTGAGGATCGAACCCAGGGCTCCACATGTCCTAAGCAAGCGCTCTACCACTGAGCCACAACCCCTGTCCCTCGGGTGACATGTTAAGAAACATCCAGACACACAGAGGAAACTCTCTGCCTTTGAAGAACACCCCTCCCCCACCTTCCTTTCTTCCTCTTCTCCCTTGAAGGGAGGCAGTTCTGGCTGGAATCCTGCCTTTGACATTAGTTAGCTGTGCATTTGGGTTAAATTATCTTTCTATTTCCTTAGCTCTGAAAAGAAGATAAAACCTAAACTGCAGGGTTATTATGAAGAGAGAAAGTGACACTGTGTTCCAGCACAGTGTCTAGAACAGGAGACTCAATAAGCAACTGGTGTTATGAATTAGAGCGTTGTGACACTCGGTCAGGACAGTGCCTTTCTGCAGGTCCCCAGTGGAAGGCTCACAGCATAGGGAACTCTGCAGGTGATGCTTCAGAAGATGGTGGGCTAACCAGGGCAGTGTCCTACAGTGCTCCTTAGGCGGACTCCCTCCTGAACTCAGCTCTTTCTCCACGTATTATCCTCTCTTCTCCTTTTCCTGCAGTGCTGGGGACAGAGCTCAGGGGTTCATGCTGCCAGGCAAAGTGCTCTACCACTGAGTGACACTCTTGAGCCCCTAGTTTCATTACAGTGGGTGCTATAGTTTGAGTCTTAAATGTCCCCGAGAACTCATGTGATGTGCTGCCCCCACTACATACAAGGCTACTGACTATGGACTGAAAGCTAAAACAAACCTTTCCTCTTTTTAAGTTGACCGCCTCACATATTTGTTACAGTAACTGAAAGTTGACTAACACATTGAATGTTTTACTACTCTTAGAATTTGTTTCAAAATGGATGCCCACAGGGCTTTCATAAAAAGAGCTACAATTAACTAACATTTGCTCTGCACAGGACATTGTAATAATCCTTTAAATGTATTACTTCCATTATTTATTATGTCAAATGTATACATTTGGGAATGCTATGCTCATTTAATAATGAGAAAATTGAGGCTCAGAAAAGTCAAGTATAGACTCGAGTTCACAGACAGTCAACAGCGAAGCTGGGTTCTAACTTAGAGTAGCACAAACATAAGGCAGCCCCAACTGCTCTGCTGAAAATGTGCAGAACTCCATGGAGCATCAAGTAGCCTCCCTAGAATGAAACAAACAAACTAACCAACCCTAATTGGAAAACCATCTGAAAAGGAAAACACATACAACTTCAATCCGTTTAACTACTAATAAACTCAAGGAATGGAACTCCAATCCTAACACCTCCCTGGATGATTACCTTCAATAAAAATGATTCTCAGCAACTTTCTGTAAACTGAAGAGCTGCAACTATCTTTTGCACTGTTGATTTCTCATGAGTGCATTCAGAAGATTGTGTCCGGTGGACACAAAAGGGTTCAAATGCGAGCTTGGGCAGAGGAAGGGCCCTGGCCAGGATGAAATGAAACGAACACTTGGGTGGATTTCCTAAATGAGGGCCAGCAGGAAGTTTTCCCTGGGAGCACACGACAGACAACATGGTCTTCACAGTGGGGCGGGGTGGGTTCTCACCATGGGTGCCGAGCTGCCTGCTCACACGTGTATCTTTTATTTGGATCTTTCTCCATCAGATTCCGAATGAAGTCTTTTGCTGTTCAAAAGGAAGGTACACAATAAAGGCATTACTTTGTGGTGTGACACAGGACAACAGGATGCCCCCACATATTCAGGAATATCATATGTAGCATAGGATACCCAAGACCAGCCCTTCATGGACCCTGCTATACCTCAGAAACAAAAGGTACCAACCCAGGCTTTGACTCCAAGGGTGACTTGGTGAATGAGGAGATAGCAAAGCCAGTCTGGGACCCTGACTTCTGTCTCCAGGTCCCTTGTCACTAGCTCATCTTTGGAGAGGAGAGGCATTGACCAGATGATCACACGCCTGTCTTCAGTTCCCCACTGCCTCAGGGAGGTCCTCCCCATGGGCTGGACAATGCCGTCAGGTCCCGGGCCAGGTGTGGAGGGAAGCCAGTCCCTAGGGCCACCATCCACAGCCCACTCAGCCCATTGGGAACCTGTGGACACGAAGCTGCCATACCACGAGGTGCTCCCTGGGGAAGGAGAGTGCTCGGGACCCAGGCCAGGACCTTGGCCCAGAAGCAGGACACTGGGAACAAGAGGGCAGGGTCACAGAAATGAAGGATGACATGGTGTGACAGCCTGAAGCCTGTCATGCTGCAGGTGTGGGAGCACCCTGCCCACCAGACTGGGCCTTCTGGGGGAGGCTGTGCCCTCCTGGACTCAGAAGCACAATATAGCCCGTGGGGCTCTTCTCTGCAGGCCTTGTAGATCTAGATTGTGGACCTGGGTATCAGAAGATTGAGGAGGAAGGCAAGGTGTTTCCAGTTAGGTGGAAGTAACAACAAATAATAAAGTTCTCGACCGGATCAGCTTGTCAGAGTCTGTCCATGGTTCCATCTCATCCTCTGGAAGATGGCGGGTTACTCCTCCCTGGGGGAAACTGAGGCCTGCAGACACTTTGCCACTCTGCCCAGGTTTTGGTTTGGTTTGGCTCTTTTTCCCTCAGGAAAGATGGTGAACTTTGTTGGGGGATATTTCTGTGTGGTACCACGGCTAAAATGCAGGGGTGGGAGTGAGGACTGGGGTTTGAATCCAGCTCGGCTGCTTACTTGCTGTGTGATTCTGGTCCAGTCATTTTATCGACTGGGGCTTCAGTTTGCCCATCTGCCCAATGGGGATAAAGCAATGCCTACCTGATGGGTTATCCTGAGGACCCAGGGAGTGGACACACTAGTGTTCTGCACACAGATGGTGCTCGATAAATGTCAGACAATAATGTTTCACTCCCAGGGCATGGGGAGGGGAGGTGGAGGGTGAGGAAGTCCGGGCCCTTTGGCAGGGCTCAGGTTAGATGTCTCAAGCCTGTCTTCCATCCAAGCCGGCCTCCAAGTCAAGGCCAAATATATAGCTCATAAAGCTCCCTTGGAAGTGGTCAAGGACTACAAGTTCATGTCCCCCAGAATTCATGTTGAAATCCTAATTTCCAAGATGATGGCCTTGGGAGGTGGGGCCTTGGGGGGCTGATTAGGTCATAAGGGTTGAGCTCTCAGGAAAGAGATTAGTGTCCTGGTCAGAGAGGCCTCAGAGAGCTCTCTGCTTGCCTGTCCCCTATAAGGACAAAGCAAGAAGATGGTCTATGAACTGGGAAGCAGCCCTCGCCGACACGGGATGTGCCAGCAGCTTGATCCTGGACTTCCAGCCCCCCGAACTGTAAATGTCTGTGGTTTAATCCACCCAGGCTGTGGGTAGTTTTTGATCCAGCAGCCCCCAACGGGACCCAGACAAGAGCCCTGGGACCATTCTGGTTGAAGTGTCCCAGGGAGCAGCCGCGCAGGGCAGACCTACCAGAGTCGGAGATGTCATCCCAGTAGGGAGAGTCGAACTCGTATTCTGCCTTGAGGATCTGTTCAAAGAGCTTGGAGTCGTTTTCGTCATAAAAAGGAGGGTAGCCACAGAGCCTGGAAAACAAGACAGGGTAGGGTCTGAGGGTCTGTGCCTCTGCTCTGCCGCCTCTGCACTTCCCCTGGAAGGAAGAGATGTGACCTACCCTGTCGAGGTCACCTGCGCTGTGCACGCTGTGAGGACCATCCGAGCAAAGGAGCCACGGGTTCTATGGGCACAGGTGGCCCCCAAGTAAAGTCACAATTCAGTAAGTAGCAGAGAGGGTTAACCCCGGTGATCATCAGAGGTAAATACATATATTTAAACTCACATTAACTCTACGGAATAATAACCAGAGACCCAGACACCCTAGAAGCCCTAGTGTCATTCATCTTATGTGGTCCCTAATAGATGATGAGTTCGTGGAAAGAATAAAGGAAATATTTTAGGTTTATTATACAATCTTGGGCCCCTCTAGGTTCATTTCATTTAAGAAATTGTCATAGAAAGAAAAGGAAATTTTGCCACTCTGAGTACCAGGTTGCCCTCAGGTGCCCTAACCCACCAGGTTTGCCCTACCATGCCCACATTGGGTATGGGGAAGGTTATAGTTTTGCCCATAAACATGCAATAAGTGTCAACAAGAGGTGACATGTTTGTGATGCTGCAGGATCAGCCACAGTACCATTTCAAAGTTGGCTTTTAGAAGGTTCGGTGAGGATGTTGGTGCAAGCAACTTATAGATCCAGACGGACCAAGGATCATCGAACAAAATAGCAGGATCAGAAATTTTGATTTAAATATACCAAATATAATTTTGACGCAAAATTGTGCCTTCCGGGGCTCGAGGAAGCTCACTGGGAGAGCACATGCTTAGCATACATGAGGTCCTAAGTCCTATGTTCTATCCCCAGTATAAAAAAAAAAAATTAGTTTAATTTTTCAAAAGCATGGTTTCTCCTTCCAGCCCTGTTCTCAGTCCCTTTACCTCCGGAAGGCTACAGATTCATTTCTGGGTACAAAATTTCCTTATCTGAGAAATGGAGGCTACCAGACTAGAAAATTCCTAATTCTTTTTGGTTTAAGCTACTGTGGCTCTTCTCCCAGTTTGTTCGATTGGCTAAAACAGATAAAGACCTAGAAAGGGTAGGAGGGAGGGAGGAGGGGATGGTGGGGCCCGGTCCTGGAAGGCCAGGTGCAAAGCTGGACAGCACATATCTGGCTTCTGGGAACAGAAGGTGGCAGCCACCTTGCTGTCCCTGTGCTAAGCCCTGGAATTCCACGCATAGCTCTAGGCTGTTCTAAACACAGCCACAACCTAGAGACCAGTTTAATGAGAACAAATTAGTGGGAACCAGAAGACTGCAGGTCTGTGGGGATCAAGCTGTCAGCACATGAGAAATGTATTGAGGTGAGGCCACCGCCCAGGACTACCTGTCTTCAGCTGCTCCCACCAGGAGAGGCGCCTGGCACCAGCCACTGCAGAGGGCATGAGTAGTGGCATTTTTCAAGGCTGAGAAATGTTCTGCAGGCCGATAAGATTCAAAATCATTTATCCCCACTAGGCCATTTCAGAGGCTGAGTGCTTGGAAAATTTCATTTTTCAAGATTTGCTGCTTTGGGCGAAATGAACAACAGCCAGCACTTCGGAAACCACCAGGCACATACTTCATGCACAAGGAAACCCCAGGCTGCCTGGAGATGGATATGTAAATTTTTCCCATAATGAGGATTTGGGCTAAGTGAAATGTGCATATTAGGAAAAGCAGACAGAGAAAATTGTTAGTTTTTCTTGGAAAAAAACTAAATTTCAGATATGTGAGGTTTTTGTTTATTAAAAACCGAGTATGTTTTACTTTATGGTTTGGCTTTCTTTTCAAGGAAAAAAAAAATCTTAAAAAAAAAAAAATCCCAAGAAAGATTTATTCTTCTGGTGCCAATTTCTTTTCATTTTAGCTCTTTTTTTTTCTTTTTTCTTTTATTGGCATAGAATACTGTGTTCACACGGGTGTACTGAGGACAGGGTAAAATGAAATGGATCTAGCTTGGAGCCTAAGTGAGTTAAAATTAAAGAAGATTTTAAAACAAAATTATTAGTACTTTGTGTGGAGGAAACCCAAAAGAGCGCCCTCTTCTGTTCATATATGGAAAGGGGATCTGGAGCGGTCAAGGGGATGCTATCAGCACTTGTAACCACTAAGCCACATCTCCAGCCCTTTTCATTTTCATTTTGACACAGGGTCCCACTAAGCTACTTAGAGCCTTGCTAAATTGCTGAGGCTGGGCTCGAACTTGTGACCCTTCTGCCTCAGCCTCCTAATCCTCTGTTCTGTACTGGTGTGACTGAAGTGTGATTTACCTTTTCATATCAAACCTTTTAAATAATCCTTGATATATGACTCAAAGGTGATAAAGCCATTATCAGTTTTCCAGGCCAAAAAGTTTATGGTTCAGAGTAGCCCAATGATGGCTGTGCCTCAGAAAGGGACCCACCCTCACAGGACCCTCTCATGGTCCCCATTGCAGCCATAGAACTATCATCCAGGTAATACTCTCTTACCTTCCAGATTTCCTGTTGCAACCTGTGGCAAGTGTGTGCAAACAGACTGCTAGTACTAGTAGCCTCAGTTGATTCCTTTTGGTGGATTGAGAACTCCACCGAGATCAATACTGCACTATTTTACACTCACCTCTCCCCAGGAGCTTAATGTCCCAGACATCTCCGTCGGCCCCTTTAGAGCCACCTGCCCTGTGCCCTGGGGGCAGTCTGTATGGACAGGTGAACAAGGGCAGCACTCTCTCTCATTGGAGGGGACCAGTGCATGGGGACCACAGCAGAGAGGGGGAAGAAGGGAGAAGATCAATGACAAGCCCCCTCTGTCCTGGCTCTCAGGCGGGTTCACCTTTGGACAGAAGGCTGTTCCTCTCCTGGGAGCAGACTCAACTGGATCCTATCTTAGATCCTGATAACAAATCCTTCCCTCCCATCCTTCCTTGGGGCCTCACGGATTTGATCCCCTCACACCACACCTTTCTGTACAGTCCTGGTACCATTCTCATTTCAATGGCCAAGGGACTAGCAATTTAGCAAAGCCAGGGCTCAAGCCCATGCCATCTACTCAAGATTTATGTTCTTAATTCCTATGTCGATTCATTGAAGGGAAGCCGACTTGAGAAGGGAAGCTTCTGCTCCAGTCTTGACTTTGAATTTTCTATGTGGGTCATTTGCTTTGCTCCCTCCCCAACTCCTTCATCTGCAAGGAGGACCCTGTGATAATAGGATGCTACTTTTTGGGGCCTGTTTGCTAAGGTGCTTAGAGCTAGCTCCTTGTACACAAGACATTTCTTGGTTCTGGATCGGGGTAAAAGCTGTCCATGTTACCTTGGCTGTCCTGTCCCTGGCTTCGCCTAACTCTGGCATACCTTGGAAGACTAGCTGGTGTGTTATGAGGAAGGCCTGATCTCTCTCTGCAGGTGGAGCAGGTGTGTCACAATGTGCTCTCACTGTAGTGCACAGACCTGTCCATGAACTCCTAAGGCAGGACCATGCCTTACCTTAGTATACAAATTCTCAGTGCTTAGGCCAGTGCCTGCCTGAAGCTGATGCTGGACAAATGTTTAGATGCCTGGACACATACTTGGAAAAGAGGCTTCCTCCCTGGCTGCTCAGCCCCGGAGGCTGGGCTCTGAAGCAGAGACGAAGACCTGGGGTGCAGCAGGACTCCACTGCCCCAGCTCAGGGGGATCTCAATGTTCTCTCCTAACCTGACTCCTCACTACATTTCCCCCTACCGGAGGTAGTGGAAACACTAACATTCCATGTCATTCACAGACATTCCAGAAGAACCCAGTTGTGCAGGCCCACCTTTGAGGGCAGACTGGCCTGCCTCTGTGGAGAGGATGCAGTGTGGTTTGGATTCCCCAAAATGGCACTCCCAGACATGGACCTATTCCATACAGAAGAAGTTTTTCCATGGAGAAGGCTTTTAACCTAAATGAATGTGAACATCAGCAATGCCCCACTGTGGCTGATTCGGCAATGAACTGTTTTTCTTGGAAACTGAAATGCTATAATAGCATAAAAGCTCCTGTGGAGAGACCCAGTGAGTTTACTATGGTCATTATCCTACATTAACTTATGTTCTTCTGCTGGCTTGTCTTTGGCCATGGTTCTGCCTCCCTGCAAAAAATGGACATGTGCTGAAAGGATGTGCAAATAGGCCACCTCTCTGTCCCTTTATGTACCTTCATCTCTATAATTCACCTCAGCCTTGGGTTCTTGCCCATCTCTTGCCCCTCTTGAATTATGGGCTTAAGGTCCTGGTTTTCCTAACAGCTTTTGATATCAGAGACAGACACTGAAAGGACAGGAAGAAGATGGTAACAGAAGAGACAGTGAGAAAAGGCAGTGACTTGAATTATAAAATTAATTTTATTATATTTTACTTTTCCATGGTAAGAATGCTTTAGATGAGATCGACCCTCTTAATGCATATTTATACATTATTGTTGACCATGGCACGATATTGTAGGCAGATCCCTAGAGCTTATACATCTTGCTTAATAGAAATGGTGCCCTTGGTTAGTAACCTCACCTTTCCCTCTCCCCTGGCCCTGGCAATCACTCTTTGATTCTACAAGTTTGATTCTTAGACACCTCGTGTAAGCAGAATCATGTGTATTTGCTTTTCTATGGCTCCTTTATTTCACTTAGCCTTAGTAAGGCCCTCAAGGTCATGTTGCAACGCATTGTGGAATTTTCTTCCTTTTGGAGGCTGGACAGTATTCCATAGTACGTATATACTATCTTTTATTTATCCACTCATCTGCTGATGAATATTAGGGTTGTATCCACCCCTTGGCCATAGTGAATAATGTTATGAACATGAGGGCATAATGGCTGTTTGTGATTCTGATTTCAATTCTTTTGGAATATTTCTAGTTTGGATGGGTGATACTATTTTAAACTTTTTGAGGCACCTCCACAGTGTTTTCTTTAGTGGCTGTCCCACTGCATCCTCACCAATACTCACTGTCTTCTGTTTTCTTGATTTCCTCCAAATGCATATAAATGGTC